TTGGACACCTCTTGTTTATAAAGCTTCAATATTAAAGATTAAATTTGGACACCTCTTGTTTATAAAGCTTCAATATTAAAGATTAAATTACTAAATACCCTTCAGGTTTCCAACCTTAAAGAAATGTTTTTGGGCTCTTTACCTATTATTCATTATGAAAATGGAAGTTGATTAAGGTTAAAAGAATACCTTTAAAATTGAACTATACAAATAAATCACTGGCCACTATTAATTAAGGAAAAGTACATTTAAAATTTTGAAATGATACACACTTCTTGGACTCCTGAGTATCTATCATAAATCATCAACATCATTGGATACTTTTATTTTGCTTTGTGTGCCACATCTAGCTTTTCGGTGTACCGATCTGATTTTTTATATGAAAAAACCCTTATTTTAAAGCAACATTTAATTTAATGCCAAAAAAAAAAAAAAAGATTCCACTTTTCAATCACCTTTATTTATTTCCAAAAACGTCTTTTTCCTCATAAACATCCATAGAAAATAAAAATTGTGTTTTTCTTTCCGGTATGCCCACTTAAATAGAAGTTAAGCAGAACTACAGGAAAATATACTAGGAAAAAATATACTAAGCAATAGATAGGGAGGGCATTTGTACACTGGTGCTTTATAACTGTTACACATCCCCTTTAAAGCCATTTTTATAAATGTGCAAATTCTCCCACCAAACAAGTTTCCAAATGCAACCAGCAGACAAAATGAGTAACTAAAATAAGTGCCAATAACTGACACTCACTATATTACACTGTTTGGGTAATGAAATGTCTGCAAGAAAACACCAAAGACCCCTCACTAAAATATGTGCATCACAGAGCAAACCAACTCCATGTTATGTATGTTCTTCTATATGATGGATGCACAGCATCCATTTTTGCACTGTTCCCTAGGAATTATATTAAAGTCTCCCTCAAACAAAGTCTGTCCCCTTCTTGACAGCAATAAAGAAGTGGTTTGCCATTAGAGTTCAAAACCAGTTAGATGCTGCCATCTAGCGGAGTAGCAATTATTAACAATCACAAGCTGCCAACAATAGAACGAAAGAACGAAAGTGTCCTTGAAAAAAATTAACACACACACACTTCAAATACACGAAATTAATTTCTGCCCAGTAAACCACAAAGAAGAAATATTGCTGCATCACATTTAAGAAGCTTTATAAGGCAGCAGAGCATTCCTCCAGGAAATTGAAGACAGGTCTATTTTTTATGTTCCACAATTAGAACTCGGGCCTTACATAAAGAGGGGATTCCAAAGAATTAAACCAATCTCAGAAATCACCTATGCCCCTTATTAGTTCATAACAGATTAGCACTCCGAGTAGAGCTACACCTGAAAGAAATTTTAGAAATCAGAAGCTACAAATGAGTCTTGCAAATCTGAATTATCATTATTTCCTGCTCCATGTAAAAGTACCTTAAATGGTCAGAGAAACCATTCCAACCAAGATATTTAATCATGTCGCCACATCTAGATATCAACAGTGGATTATATAAAATTGTTTTAAAGTTTAATAAATAGCTATGAATGGTGATACCATATTTTACTAGGCTTTTCAACAAAAGAAATCAATACAATTGGAAACTGGCCTCCTAAACAAGCAACTGTAATAATTACCTGAAAATGGCTGCAAAATACCAATTTAACCTATTTTTCATTCAGAAGTCTATGTCACAGACCTGTCCCTCAGAATAATGTACAATGTATGTGAATAACTGAAACGCATGAAAGGATTCAGAAATATGACTCATTTTAAGTTACTTAATGAAGAAATACGCCAAACCTTTCTTGAATAACCCAAATGACAGAATCCAGCTACCTAGAAATGTCCTCCAAGGAGGCAGCAGGAGTCATTTTGTCACAATTTCTGAAAGCATCTGAAACTATATATTTATTTTTGGCATCTTCTCTCCATATACAATAATTTTTTATGTAATAATGCCTTTGAATTCACAGATTGATTGTTGATTGTGCACCTATTCTAAGGAGTTATTTCAGACCAAAATAATTCATGTAGAAAGTGAGAAATTTATGAATGATGATGAAGACCAAATTAATTGCCTACGCTCAGTAGAATGAAAGTGATATATTTGTATATCATAAATCTGGAAGCAGGTGATAACATATTTGTGGCAGAAAACTGTGGAGAAATTCCGCACACCACCACCACCCCGCAATAGAATAATCCTGAGATGAAACCGAGTCTTGCCTGCTGCAGGAATAACTTCATGTGAATAGTGTAAATGGTTTTTAAAAATTATGCTTTTAAAACTTTTGTGGTCATGAAACAAACTGCTTGGCTGAAATCTGAATTTTGGTTCAAAAATGATTTCTTCTGTCAAAGCTCATTCGTACTGACATACGGGCTGAAAAACTGCAAAAAATGATACTGCATTTGCTACTGTGCTCAGTTAATCCCATTTAAACACATAAATGGCTTTCATAAGCAGCTATGCAGGACTTTCACTTAATTAAAATCCTACACAGAATCCTCCACAGAAGACAAAGAGCCTATTCTACAGACTCAAATGTGATTAAATTCAAATCCTGATTAAAATCCTGTAGAATTAGTTTCAGAGGCTTATTATTTATTTAAATGTACAGTCACCATAAACATCCTGACTCTGGGTGGCTTACAATATCCAAAATAACTAAAAATGAACACTGCAAATTTAAATGAAAGCACCTTTAATTGACAAGTAATTGGCAAGCAGGAACGTGCAAGTGTTAAACCTCCTCTGAACAGGACTCTCATCATCCTAGCCCCTGTACCCAAGGAAACCTCCAGGCTGTTGATGTTTTAGTAAGGCCAATAGATTTGGGACCATACATGGAGGGGGGGGGGATCATTCCAGAGGGCAGGCCCCATCACAAAGAGAAGCAATCACTCTCCTTGAGTTTCAATTATTTCCGTAGAATGTAAAGAATTCTTATTTCATGGGAATTAAATTATTCAGTATTTTATAATACATTGTATACACAATTATTTTTGTTCACTGAATGCTTGCATATTTTAAAAAATGCTTAATTCTTTTGATGTCTCCTGTAATATATGAGCAATGGTGGGGCAGAGCTGAAACTAGATTTTCTCCCCTCCCCCCACCAAAAAAAATCCATTTTAAGAACAACACTCAAATAATTACAGAAGCATTTCAACCAATAAATAATCAGAACTGAAATTTAATGAAACTAGAGGAGGGAGCACCTCATTGATTGGCAGCTTTCTTGTTGATGTCATAATGCATCCTACTCACAAACTATAAGCAAATTTCAGAGAAGTAGCACAGAAAAATTAGCAGAACTGGAAAGAAGCAAGCAAGCAGAGAGGATTCAACCATGCCTGCCTCGACACAAAATAATCAGGTGAGTATTCTTAAAGTGGAAGAAACAAAGAACCTCCATATAGTAATACTGTAGCACAGGCTGTCAGGAACTTGTGTCTATCTAAAGTCGTAAACTATTCATCATAAAAGTTGGATCATAGTAAGATCACTATTATAGTTCTTATTTTCAGTTATCAGCTGACCTACTTACAAATAGGAAGCTGATCTGAAGGTTGTAAAGATTAAAATAACCCAAAATTTTATGTGCTATATAAATAGGATAGCATTTCATTCCTTAATCTAGGGATGTCCTTCAAATATTCTGAGTTAGAATGCTTATCATTCCTTGGCACTGTCAATTTTGTTTTGGCTGGCAGGAGTTGTAGCTTCATCAGACAGCCTGCCCAGTCTTATCCTGGAAAGAAATGTAGAGATAACCTTGGCGAAGGAATGTATAAGCCTGCCTTTTGTTCTGATATAAAATGGGGCACGTAGAAACTCTGTCAAGCTTTCAAGATTCTTGTTAAAACCTGCAACAATAATGAGAGATATACAAGCTGCTTTTGAAAAAACACAGAAAATAGAAAAATCCAGAGATGTTGAATCAAGGCAACAGTTTCAACCACTAGTTAGTCAGAAGACCACTGTAACTCAACCATCATATCACCAACTATTGATGGCAAAAGTTTCAGCTCTACATATAACCAAAGCTGCTATGATGAGAAGTATCAGACATGAAGAGACAAGCCTAGATAGTACAAAATCAAAGGAAAGACCCACTAGTTCTCTCTTAGAGGAACGGAGCAAAATTCTAAACAGGGAAGTAGATATGTCAAGTAGAAGCAAACTTAGCACACAATCTTTGCAAAAAATATCTAGTCTTTTTCCATTTGATATCAGCAAGTTTTCTGCTGATATTGTGTTGCATGAATTACTAGAATACAACAGGACTCTGCTTCCAGGCCATAAAGCAAATCTTCAGCATGCATGGCAACTTGCACAGCAAAAGATACTACAACAATAAGTTAATCTTGCTGAAAAGTTCAGAAGCTTGTCAGTGTTTTTGCCTCAACCGGGTGTCACTACTAGGTTCCACGATTATTCTGGCCATCCTTCAATACCAGCATGGGAAGCAAACCAGTTGGGACCAGAAATAAAAAACAATATAAAAGGGGCCAGTTATTCTTCAGCCTTTCAAGGACTAACTACTCAAGTTCAAGATTTGGATTCATTCATTATTTGTGGAAAGGGATGCAGTCCTCTAAGAAAAGATGGAACTTCCCCAGTTATATGGCAAAATCCAAGAAGCCACTGAT